GGACGGTGCCTTACAAACTATATTCCATGCATATCAATACTTACTTTTATATAATTTTTTTCACAGACTAGGTACTGTATGACCATGACTATTCATAAACTATTCATAACAGTATGCTATTACCAGCTTTACACCTTAAAATAGCTTTGCAACATTGTGCAAGTATGGTTCTTTGCATTGCGAACATCTGAATCCTAGTTAACAACCGTTTTTAAAACTACTTACCTGACTGACAGAAGGCACTGCTGGATTGTCCCATGCCCCTGGTGGGATTGCGTTTGCACTAGACGCGAAACAGTTTGTGGCAATTTATTTCCTTTTCCGCCGAGTATGGCTGTCGTCTGTTATGGTTGTAGTAGAGACATCTGTTGGCAGCCATCGCCACTGCGTCTGTAAACAAACATCAGCTGATTCGCGAAACATCCGGGACGAGGAGATTCTTCGAGAGGGTCATTGAGGATGCTATCTGTCGCCTGAAAAAAAGTCGAGAGGTTCAGCACCGGTACTTGTAGCTTTGTTTGAGTGAAGTGTACATGAGACAGCTTAATGGACACAGCTCTCTATCCAGATGCAGAAAATTACCCTGACAAAAGTGATATGGACTACGATTCCCAATCAAAAGAGACCACGAGAAAACTTTGACAGCGGAGAAGACCCACATCATAACCTGACCATAACCGAAGACAAACAAATGTACAGGCAAGCAGATTATACTGTAGTTTGATCAGTTTAACTGGTAACTCTGAAACCTAACAAATCTGAAAGACTAACAAATACACCAAACAAATCAGACCCACAAATACATTATTGAAGATTTCCTAGGTTTTAGGGACAGGAAAGGCCATTAGGTTTGAAGTGAATGACATCTCTTAATTAAAACTCCTTAACAAAGTGGGAGACTGGAAAGTAAATTGCAAGCAGGCAACCTCAAGCAAATATATAGGCTGTTGATATGGCTCTATTTCATCATCATCATCATTAGGGGCTAACGCCGATGGGGGCCCATAGCCACATCCACCCTTTGTTTCCACTCATTAGGGTCCCTCATGGCAAGCTTCCAGGCAGGGACTTGGCCCATCTTGAGCTCCTCCCGACAGGTTTAAGCGATCTGCCCAAGCCACGGCCTCCTAGGTCGTCCCGCAGGCCTCCTTTACCTAGGGTTGTCTGTTGCAGAGACAATCCGGTGGACAGGATCATCCTGTGGGAAGCGAGCCAGGTGGCTGTATAGCCTGAGTTGGCAATCCCGGATTGTGCAGGTAACAGGTTCTGTGCCAGTCTCCAATTGCAATCGTTGATTGGACACGTGGTCCCGCCAACAGTACCCCATGATCTGGCACAAGGATCTATTTCATACCGACTGAACAGGTTTTCCTAGCAAGTCCCCAAAGTCCTGGATCTTGATCTTGGTCCAGGAATCCTCTAGACCCAAGGGCATCGCTTCATTACTAAATGCATCCAGCACCACCACTAAGGTTTCCAAAGACTCAGATAGAATAGCAACATCATCAGTAAAGTCAAAGTTGCTCTATGGCAATAGATTTGCATCCACCATTGACTGGTGTCAATCATCTCTTTAAGGAGTATTTGTGTGGGAGTGCCCACAGGTATAGCTGGGTGCTGGAGACCGACCGGGAGAGCCAGGATGGCTCCCCTGATGGCTAAGGCCTAGGTAGACCTGGAGTTGCTAGCTGCTGTGTCTTGCTCTGCTAGAGAATCATGAGTGCTGAACTCGGCCTGGGCGCTGGAGCTTAAGTAGGGCTAAGCTGTGTCAGCTACCCGGGAGGGAGGGGAGCCTGCAGTTCAATGGGCGAGCCTGGAGCTGTCTGTTCCCATCCAATTAGGTCTTGGCATTTGTCAACGAGAGGTGGCTTATGGTGAGGTGCATGAGGACGCGGCTGATGGACCTTGACCCAACCTGGCAAAGTATACCCTGCTGCAGGTTGTGGGGGTCAGCTACAGCTCCACAATGACCTTGAACAGTAGCTCTGCCTAGTATCCAGTCCATGCAAGTATTGAAAAGTGTTGGTGCATGGACACAGCCTTGCCTCACTCCTGAACTAACAGGAAAGAAGCTCAACAGGCCCCCACCACACTTTACAGCACTTTCAGTACCAGTATACAGGCTTGCTATTAGTTTAATAATCCTTGTTGGAATTCCTCTCAGTCTCAGGATCTCCCAGAGTGATTCTAGATGCACTGTATTGAACGCCTTCTTGAGGTCGATGTAGGCTGCAAGCAGCCCACTCCCAAACTCACAATGGCACTCTACAATGACTCGAAGCGCAAGGATAAGATTTATTGTGGACTTACCAGGAGTGAATCCAGATTGCTCTAGCTTCTGATGCCTCAATAGGTGGTCTCTGATCCATCTCAGAAGGATGTGGGCAAGAACCTTGCCTGGTATACTGAGTAGTGTGACGCCTCGGTGATTGCTGCAGTCCCAATGGTCCCCTTTCCCCTTCCAGAGAGGGATGACCACACCCCTCAACCGCTATCACCTGCCAAGAGGGCTTGGAGTTCAGCTTTCTCAGGGCTTGGTATACAGGACGAAGGTCATTTACTAAGAAATGGCCATCAACCTCCTCAGCAAGACTCCTAATAAACTTTCTTGTCCCTTCTTAAACCCCTGGATCCGCTTGCAATGGTTACGTAAGTGGCCAGCATCCCGGGTGTGTGGTGCATAGGCTGGAAATGCATGAACACCCATGAGCAGTGTGCCTCCCCTTTGAAAAGATATTTTATGAAAACTTTTTTAGCTTTATCACCATTTTCCAATGTCCATATTTTTCTTTTGATTTGTTTTATCTAGATGGTAATTACTTATTTTCCTTGCACAGACTCCATATCATCTCTCGATGTAGTAATTAGCTCAGTGCAAGAAAAAAGATATATGGAACGTTTGGTTATTTGTCTTTTTTTTTTTTTTTTTTCAATTTTCAATTTTACGTAATACAACCTGCGCTGCCGGTCACAGCAGCCAGGAATACAGGGCGCAGTTATTTGTCTTTTTTTTTTTTTTTCAATTTTCAATTTTACGTAATACAACCTGCGCTGCCGGTCACAGCAGCCAGGAATACAGGGCGCAGCATGGAAATGGTGTCCTCCCTGGAGCTGGCACTCTTCCAGTCACTGCTTACACACGTTCTATTCCACATTCGTTTATCGATGGGAATAATGTTAAAGCCCCTTTCTAAGCGCCAAATGAGTTGAATCACACTCCAAGAGGTTTGTGCACTCATGGCGAGTCTTTTCCGTCACCCTGGCCTTCGCTCTTGATGCTTTGTTCACGTCATCCATATAGCTGCCCAAGTTTTTCCTTGACATGATGGCAACATCATCCGGATCCAGGGGATTAACAGAGACCGAGTTCTACACACCTGAGAATGGTGCAAATCCCGATCCCCTGTCAGACGATACGCATGGCAAGCTTCTGTGGTTTCCAGTGTCTCCTGTGAGATAAAATTCTGTATTGTCCTCGGGCGTTCACCAATCAACTCTTGTGCTGCATCAAGTGTTTCACACTTGAAAGTGTCCCACAGAAGTACAGGGTCCGTCAGATTGTCAAGTGTTGTGAAATGACCAGAGATTGCCTCAGCAAACCCCTGAGCACACTCCTCCTCCTTCAGCCTGTCCAGGACCAGGAGGGTAGCCACAACCAATCTATGGTTAGTACCACAGAACTCGGCACTCCTATACACACTGCAGTTCTGGAGGATTCTCCAGCGAGTGCTAATGAGTATGTGGTCAATCTCCTTGGCTGCATTACCAGCAATGATGTATCATGTCCAGCTATGTGGTTCTGGGCGCTGGTACCAGGAGCCAGAAATCCTCAATTTCTGGGACCGTGCAAAGTCCTGGAAAAGGAGGCTATTCTCCTCAGCTCCCGAACCATGAGGACCGACAGACATCTCATAGCCAGCTCGATCAGAGCCAGATACTGCACTGAAGTCCCCCAGAATAATACAAATATCTCACCAGGGACAGCTGTCTGCCACAGATGCAAGTTTGGCGTAGAACATTGCTTTCATGTCAAGTTTACAAGTATCGGTAGGAACGTACACAGCAATAAGAGACAAATACTAGCTTCAGTCATAATACCATTATACGCTCAATTTTGGAGTAACCTCAACCACCGAGGCCTGGAGCCTACTGGAGATAGCTATGGCTACTCCTTGCAGATGGTGACCATCACTGTGGCGTGACCAGTAATAGGTGTAGCCACCTACACTGATCGTGCTGCTGCCAGGTCTTCTCACCTCACCCAGCCTCCCCAGTTCCCTCGATAGTAGAGGCAACCCTTTATCTTGATGCAAAGAGTGGATGTTCCAAGCCCCCACCCTGAATTCCTGCCCGAGGTTAACCCCCGGGCAGTCACCGGGTGGACGGCACCTCTGCCACCCCCACCAACGCTGCCCCACATAAAAGGCTCAATATATCCTGTGGAAATAGACTTAATCCCATAGGAGATAAGAGAAAAAGTAAGAATAATAAGTGGAAATAACATAGAAATACTAAGAATATAAAAGAGCAATAGAGAAAAAGGCAGTAAAATCAATTGAACTCCAACCAAGTCCCTAAAGATAACTTTTAAAAGTAACAACAGAAGAAATAGCAATTGGAAATACATCTTACCCAGTTCACCAGTATACTTTTATCATTCCCAAATGTTTCAGATGTCTGAGGCATGGGCATGGGATCATGACATGCAAAGATAAGAAAAGATGCAGCCAATTTAATCATAATTTAAAAAATTGTCCAAATAAAGAACATTACTTTTACTGTCATGGTGATCACCCACCCAACACTGATTCATGAAAAATACATAGAGAAGCTCAAAATATGAATACTAACAACATAACACCCAGCGATTTGGAAATCGAAAAACAATGTTAAGAGTTAAAGCCTACCCAAGAAGAAGAGACTTCAACTCTTGAAGCCTTTATGCCAAACTCAACAACCAGACAAAACAAGTCACACAAGCACCATGGTAACATGGAGCCTAATAACACAAAAAGAAACTGAAGTGGATAAAGAAAGACTTCTCAAGGGTGACCACAATAAAGAATATAGTAAAGAAAAATATCAAATGTAATAACCAACATGAATTCTGGAAAAACAATGATGAATATTGTCACAAACAATAAAAGCTGTAACTCCAATCATAAAAGAATTAATAAATTACTTTAATGAATAGAATATTTGGAATATTAGGTCAGTCCTGAATAAAAAGGAAGATTTAGAGTATTTACTACATAAAGAGCAACCAGAATTGATAGGATTCTGCAAGAGCTGGCTGGCTTTATGTCAGTCATGAACGTCCTCCAGAAACCATGGGCACGGTTTTCCCCTGTTTAATTGCCTAACCCTTACCTCTTATGAGTACCCTGAGGGATTTCTTTTCCCCATTTTATTCAAGCATATCATGGTCAATAATGAAGATTTTTTACCTTTAATAGGGGCATTAAGGCTTGGCCCTTCATCAAAGCTCCTATCTGACTTTAATTTTGATGGTTTTCCGACCCCTTCCCCACCTTTGACCATGGCTCTGACCACTGATATTAATACCCCCTCCTTGATGTTTACTGACAACTTTATCTATTCTGAACCACCCACCCAGGTTATTTCTCAACCCCCAAAATGCACCCTTTCATCTCTCCCAACATTCTCTTCTCCATCTCCTACTTCAGTATCCACCCCTCTTCCCTTATTACTACTGTTCATCCTTATTGTCCCTCCCCCCTTAGAACTACTCCACTCTGTACCACCTCATCTTCATCCTGGCCTCATCCTTCTACTGCTTCTACCTCTGCAAATTGTTTTGGCTCAGCCAGGTTGGATCGATTCTTTGTAATTCCCCCCCACAGCCCCCTACTTTGAGAATACCCTTCTTTTTCAACAGTGCATCCAAAACCAAATAGGCAATGTTACCTTTTGCAGTCACTCATGCATTATCTACCATAACTTACCTTATTGGCAAACCCATTCCTGCCAAACAACACCTCTCTTAATTTTGTACTGTTTCCTATCCCCCGACTGACTGTCCCATATATGACAAGAACTGGTCAGATTGTGAAAATGACCTACTTACCTGCCTTGCTGTACTCCTCCTCCCAGAGGCCAGCATAAGTCCTATGTCAATATTGTCAAGATTAGCTTCCATTGACATGACCCCATGAAGTTTAGATTGATGGATTGCCCTACCATGTCTGACCATATCGATCCGTTCCCCATCAATGTCAGGAATGTTGCCATTTTGGCCACCCAGCCAGACACTGTCACTCCACAGCCCACTGCCCTCTATGTGCCCAACATAGTCATGACAGTTCAAATTGCCATGCTCAGTCACATACATTTGCCAACTGTGGTGACTCCCATAATATTTTATAGGAGCTGCCCTGCCTATAAGCTTGAATGTGTGGCAGCAGTTCTCAGATTCAAACTAGGCCTCACTCTACTTGATTCCTTCCCAATCAATGTCAGAAATGTTGCCGTTTTGGCCACCCAGCCAAACAATGTTGCTCCACAGCCTGCTGCCGTCTATGTGCCCAACATAGTCATGACAGTTCAAATTGCCATGCTCAGTCACATATATTTGCCAACTGTGGTGACTCCCATAACATTTTATAGGAGTTGCCCTGCCTATAAGCTTGAATGTGAGGCAGCAGTTTTCAGATTCAAACTAGGCCTCACTCTACTTGAGGCTAGACAGTAAGCACAACGATGAGGTTTTTCTCTCTCTACCTATTCCAAAACAGTCCTTAACTCTGCACCTCACCCCCCCCCAAATGTTTCTGCATATCCCCCAGTATCCCTTCGTTCTACCCTGAACCATCCTACCTCTACTTTCCCTATCCTACAGTGAAATCCCCTTTTCATTCTAAATCCAGATACTCCAATCTCTACCTCTTCTCTGATGCTTACCCTATCTCCCCCTCACTGTACACGTCACACCAGACAACTTAAATGTAAATATTATCCTTACCTCTCCCACCTACTCACGTGAATCCCTTCTGTTGTAACAGTGTCCTTCTCCAGAGTTCTCCCCTCCTGACAGTCTTCCTGGTACTTCACCTCCTTCCCCAGTCCCCTTATCTCATCCCCCAGATTCTTCTCATGCTACTTCTCGAACAGCCATCTCTACCCGTATTACCCGTTAATTATTTCATAACAGCTCTTTTACCTGTTTTTCCTTAAAGCAATGTTACTATAGCTTCCCTAATAACAGATATATCTCATTCCATCCAATTGCCCTATATTTAATTATTTGCACCCCCTATTTACCTTTTTCCCTACCATACTATCCTATTACACAATAACCTCTTTATAGTAATCATTAAGGGGACTGTCCCAGGTGGGGGGGGGGTGTACAGGGGGTCAAATTGAGTTAGCTAGCGTAGTATACGTACAAGGATGAGGAAACTACCAAATGACTATTAAAGCCCTGCTATGGCTCGTTGTCTTGCAGCCAATGCAAGACCCGCTGAACACCTGGAGAGGTACGTCCCTAATGAGCGCCCAGGTATACCTATGTGGACTTCTGCTTGCTGCAATCGTGCATATGGCATTTGATTATGACATTGCACATAGATATGAGTTTGTGAATGTTTAAGGAACACTTTTATACCAATATCAGAAAAAAAAATTATATCACCGTGATTTATGACGAAATATTTTGTGAAATATATCTAAAAAAAAAATTAAGTTTTGTGTCCTTTTATACCCGAAATATGCTTCTATCAAGACTCCCTGGTAATATGTTGTGGGTTCCGAAGTAATCTGTAGGCATATCATGTACGAAGCACTAATGTTTGAAATTAGGGTTATAAGGAATGATTGAAATATTTCCGTTACATTTCACTCAACTGTCGGTACATTAAGGCATTGGTAAATTTGATTTGATTTGAAATTGGTTGTAATCACTGTGAAGAGGACTTTATTACAAAGGTCACCAAATAATTGAATTTTTGAACTTCGGATGTATAAGCGAGATACTGATTATTTCATATTGAAGATGATAGTACTCAGTAATACTCACTCTGAAATAAAAACTATATGGAATTTTTAACTCAATTTTGTGCGCAGTCTTCATCTAAAGTTGAAAGAGCTATCGCATCTGTTTTGTGCGTTTGCGATTAAAAATAATACGTTTAGACGTTACCATAGGTTTTAGGTACTACAAATTCACAAATATCCCACCATACCTAGGCGTCTGCATGATTTTATGCACTTAATGGGTGCAAATGGCTAATCAACAACTCTACACTCGTTTCCCTTTGCAATCTGATAATATTGACAATTATCAAAGAAAATGGTTTGTAGGGTAACTAATATATTTTATTCCTTTAGATATAAGAGTGAATGTAGGCCTACTAAATAAGGATGATTAATTTTTGTTTTAACTTTATGTGTGTGTTTACAAACATATGATACTTCTCAAAAATTAGAACCACCCAGTGACCATCTCCCCTCCTCCCCCAGTTCTCCATTTTTTCTAAATTGAAGTAGAAAAAAAAATATTAAATGTTTTTAAAAAGGATCTTATCTGGTTTAGATTAGTTGTCTCAATGGTAAAATGCATTTATTAAACTTTTCAGATGAAAACATTTACTTTTATATATATAAAAAAAAAAATTACATATCTTTATAAGAAAGCGTACCTATTGAAAATGGTAATTTTCAATTTAAAACTTCTATTTTCAGGTTCAGATCTACCACCAACTAAAAGGTATTACATTCTGAGATTCTTGAAGATATTTCTACAAACAATCAGAATTGATTACATCTAAACGACAAAGAAAATCAGGAGAGGATGCAGGGGATATAGATAATAAAAATTCTATGAAAGAAGAAAGAAATAGAGGAAATTCCATATGAGCACTATTAAAGATAAAGAAAGAAAGATAGTGATGAATTATTTCTTATGAAAACATATGTCAAATAAAAATAGTGCTAGCTCTAATCAACTCATGGTTTTAGTGCTAGAAATAATGTTTATAGTGTTATAGTGTGCTGTAACAGCTGATGGATGCAAAAAATTTAAGCTAATTAATCCTTTTAATCATTGGGCTAGGAGAGCTGCTAGCTGCATCATTTATAAAAGTGATTGCAGAAGAAAGAAGATCACTCATAAATCCCTATTCTTTCACTCCGCTTGCGAAGGTGAACCTGATGAGGAAGTGAAATTAGAACTGTAAAAGTAAAGGAAGCATGGAAGAATATTCAAGTAAGTATACAATAAAAAAATAGTTTTAAGAAATGGTAGATCTTATTAGCTAAATGTTTAGAAGACAGTTGTAGGGGCATTCAAAAGAGGACTTCAGTTTGGTAATCAGCATTGTTGTATGCAGATCATAGTTATATTTATGGTGTCTAATGATCTCTTCAGCTTTTATATTGTTAATAATCATCAGGCATATTGTTAGGGATGTTCTCATCTATCTCCCAAACAATATATCATTTCATATCTCACCTGAAATCAGAAGATATGGGCTTCGTTGTCACCCATCCTTGTTCACCAAAGTAGGGCGAACAAGGATGGGAGGTTCTTTTGATTAGATGTTTATATATGACCTTGGATAATTAACTGATACGAGGGGAAGATAAATAACCAAGTTTTTTTATCAATATATTCTCAGATATATACAAAAGTCAGTGGAAAAAAAACTGAGGCAGCCGTAAGACACTGGGGCAGCCGTAAGACACTGGGCCCTTTAATAAGTTTTCTAAATCAGCAAGGTGGTCTTCCCAGGTAGAATTATGGATTACGATATTGCCAAAGTTTATTGTGGGGTTTGTAGAAAGTCTCTTCTATGTCTGCTCTTTATTGATGCTAAGCCATGAGAGGTTACATACATCACGGCTATAATATAATTGTCAACATATCTAGCCGGAAGTTTATTTCTGGTAGACCTTTGTGGAATCTCTTTCTTTTTAGGTATTTCAGAAGGCACATTCTCCTGGTCTACTTTAACTTTCTTTTTTTCCTGCTGTTTTGACTGCTCCTGCTGCATAGAAGGAAATATGATTACACCTTTCTTTAGATGTGATGGCTTCAATTGGTCAATGTGCCTTTTCATCTCTCGACCATCATCATCTTTTACCATGTTATGCAATTTACCTAGCCTTTGTACCACTTGTCCTTCAAACCATTTTCCTTATGAAGAAGTATATGATATCATAAATACTTTATCTCCATTGTTAAATTCTCTGTAGTCCTTCACACTAGGTTTTACTTTTTTGTTCTACAGCTATTTTTGGTGTCATTGCATCTAACCTATATCTCACCCTCTTCCTCATCAACAGAAATGAAGGTGAACAACCTGTGGTTGCATGTGGAGTGTTTCTATATGATAGTAGGAACCTGTTTATGTTAGTGGTGAGACTAGATCTGCTACTGCCTCAACATTTCATTTTAGACTTGAACGTCTGTACAAATCTTTCTGCCTCACCATTCGTTATGGGGTGATATGGAACACCATGAATGTGTTTGATGTTGTTCCCCTTACAAAAATTTGGCAGCAGACCATGGACAAAATATTTCATGCTTTACCAGGTGTATTTTGTTGTGTAGATGACATTTTGATAGCAGGAAAAGATGAAAAAGAACATCTTGAAAGATTATTGGCTATTTTAGTAAAATCAAGGAAAATGAAATGAAAACAAAAGTAAATGTCATTTCTTTGTAAAATCCCTTGAGTATTTAGGCTTCAAATTGATGGTGAGGGTATCCTTAAGACAGATGAAAAAGTTAGGGCAGTTAATTGTGCCAAAGTGCCAGAGAGTGTCAAAGAATTACAGTCATTCTTAGCGTTAGTTACATTCAATGGTAAATTTGTAAAGAATCTAACCACTATTGCTAGCTCATTGTATAATTTGACAGCAAAAGAAGTTCCATGGAACAGGTTACTAAAATGTCAGGCAGCTCTTGACAGGATTAAGGCTGAAATAACTGATGAAACATTTCTGGTACACTACAACAAGGATTTACCTGTAAAATAAGTGTGCGATGCATTGCAAGTAGGGTTAGGTGCAGTATTGGCTCACATTATGGAAGATGATACTGAAAGACCCATTGCTTTTGCATCAAGACTACTGAATAAGGCAGAACAGAGATATTCTCAGATAGAGAAAGAGGGACTAGCATTGGTTTATGGTGTTAAAAAGTTCCACATCTACCTCTATGGTACAAAGATCTTTACATTAGTAAGGGATCACAAACCACCATTAGCCATTTTAGGACCAAAGAAGAGTTTGCCGGTATTATTAGCAGCTCGTTTACACAGATGGTCAATAACCCTAGCTGCCTATAACTATGACATAAAGTATAGGTCAACAGGAAAATGGGGAATGCACATATCACACCAAAATTTACCAAGGCAGCTGACAAAATGTAACCATTAGTGCATTGTGAGTGATGTAAGAATGGAATACCATTCATTTCAGATATATGGTGCCATCATTAACTCTGTCTTTTCAATTTTGATTTACCAACATCTTAGAATAATATTACACAAGAAATGCAACAATAAGTTTAAATTATAGATATGAGCATCCATTCCTGGCTAAAGACATTCATATCATATTTAATTATTCTGCTAGTTACAGGGGTTATTAGAAAGCAGTTGTCATGATGAAATGATATGTTATCATAAGTGCTTTCTAATAACCAGCCTGACTTTAAAGTGAAAAAATAGTGTTCTCACATATTGTATTTAACCCTTTTCAGTGATACAGATGTATATATATATATATATATATATATATATATATATATATATATATATATATATATTATATATATATATAATATACATATATATATATTTATATTAATATATATATATCTGTATCACTGAAAAGGTTAAATACAATATGTGAGAACACTATTTTTTTCACTTTAAAGTCAGGCTGGTATTAGAAAGCACTTATGATAACATTCATTTCATCATGACAACTGCTTTCTAATAACCCCTGTAACTAGCAGAATAATTAAATATGATATGAATGTCTTTAGCCAGGAATGGATGCTCATATCTATAATTTAAACTTATTGTTGCATTTCTTGTGTAATATTATTCTAAGATGTTGGTAAATCAAAATTGAAAAGACAGAGTTAATGATGGCACCATATATCTGAAATGAATGGTATTCCATTCTTACATCACTCACAATGCACTAATGGTTACATTTTGTCAGCTGCCTTGGTAAATTTTGGTGTGATATGTGCATTCCCCATTTTCCTGTTGACCTATACTTTATGTCATAGTTATAGGCAGCTAGGGTTATTGACCATCTGTGTAAACGAGCTGCTAATAATACCGGCAAACTCTTCTTTGGTCCTAAAATGGCTAATGGTGGTTTGTGATCCTTACTAATGTAAAGATCTTTGTACCATAGAGGTAGATGTGGAACTTTTTAACACCATAAACCAATGCTAGTCCCTCTTTCTCTATCTGAGAATATCTCTGTTCTGCCTTATTCAGTAGTCTTGATGCAAAAGCAAAGGGTCTTTCAGTATCATCTTCCATAATGTGAGCCAATACTGCACCTAACCCTACTTGCAATGCATCGCACACTTATTTTACAGGTAAATCCTTGTTGTAGTGTACCAGAAATGTTTCATCAGTTATTTCAGCCTTAATCCTGTCAAGAGCTGCCTGACATTTTAGTAACCTGTTCCATGGAACTTCTTTTGCTGTCAAATTATACAATGAGCTAGCAATAGTGGTTAGATTCTTTAAAATTTACCATTGAATGTAACTAACGCTAAGAATGACTGTAATTCTTTGACACTCTCTGGCACTTTGGCACAATTAACTGCCCTAACTTTTTCATCTGTCTTAAGGATACCCTCACCATCAATTTGAAGCCTAAATACTCAAAGGGATTTTACAAAGAAATGACTTTACTTTTGTTTTCATTTCATTTTCCTTGATTTTACTAAAATAGCCAATAATCTTTCAAGATGTTCTTTTTCATCTTTTCCTGCTATCAAAATGTCTCTACACACAAAATACACCTGGTAAAGCATGAAATATTTTGTCCATGGTCTGCTGCCAAATTTTTGTAAGGGGAACAACATCAAACACATTCATGGTGTTCCATATCACCCCATAACGAATGGTGAGGCAGAAAGATTTGTACAGACGTTCAAGTCTAAAATGAAATGTTGAGGCAGTAGCAGATCTAGTC